GGAAACCAGAGAGCTGAAGCCAGGAGGCTCTTTTCATTACCATTGCTGTGGCAACTGAATGAGTGGCGGGGGGAGGCTTGCAACATTGTTCTGGCCAATAGCTAGGTCTCTGCCACAATCACTTGAAACTGTTCCCTGTGTTCTGCCAATAGGTGGTCAACAAAGGAGGCGAGTTTGGTATAGCTGATGTGGTTATATTTTGCCATCAAGACCTGATAATTGGCAATTCTGAACTGAAGAGAGGCCGAGGAGTAAGACTTTCTCCCTAACAGGTCCAGGCACTTGTGATCTTTATCATGAGGTGTTGATTTACCATGGTGCTGTCTACTACATTCCTTCACCACATCTACTATCAGGGAGTTAAGTGAGAGGTGGGAAAATAAAAACTCTGAGTCCTTTGCTGAGACGTAGTACTTCTTGTCTGCTCTTTTACATGTAAGGGGAATGGAAGCTAGTGTTTGCCAAACAATCTTTGCTGGATCTAAAAGAGCCTCATTAACAGGTAAGGCTATATAGGCCTCTGAAGGTGGAGGGTATCAAGCTGCTTATGATGAAGCTCAGTAGCCTCCTTTTAGTTTGGACTAATTCAGTCTCCCTTTTGTACTGTTTCCCATCAACATTTGTTATTATTTGTTATTGTGACATCTTATGAACTTTCACATACTTTTTACAGTTGAGACCACAATTAGGGTAAATTGGTAGGTTCAATTATCATAATAGAGCTCAGCGCTGTTGTATCTAAACTAAAAACCTACTGCCTGAGAATAAAAAACAAAATTAAAATGTATCTTTTAAAAAACTAGAATAACAGTAACGCTAGTGAATACTAAGTTCCAATTACTAAAAAGTAACATCCTATCTAAGCAACAAAGAACTATAAAAGGAATATTGATGTTGTTCTATCTGCTCTGCCTAGGGTGGTTGCAAAGAACTGAGTGGAAATTAGGGTCTCAGGCTCTTTATACCCTTGGGAAGGGTACGCGGAGTGTGAATGCGACCCCTACTACACACTGCTAGTGAAAATGTTGCAAACTATTGTGCTGGGGTGCCCAACACACCACGAGTGGGATCCACATGTGCAGTGATCAAAGAAGAACAATTACCTGCTGGTTTCAGGAATTATGGAGTCTTTGTTTCTCCACAGAGTTTTCATGATCTCCTGCACTAGTGGTATTAGAAGGGATATGGGGTACCCTTCCTGTATTCTAGGGAAAAATGATACATGGTGGTCTTCCATAATCTTCTCTTTTTCAGACACATTTATAAATACTTCGTGATCACTGGGTTCTTCCCAGGCCTGACCCTGGAGTGTTTACTTTTTATTTTAAACTTATTGGGATTTTGTCTCCCAGAAACTGAATAGCTCCTGGGAGACAAACTTAGAATCAAAGTACAGTATAAGTTAGGCATGGGCGTGAGACACTGAATTTGTGTACTTGGGAGATCAGACTAGGTGTTCCAGTTCAGACCCATCTCTAGTGTAAGCATTCATGAACCTGGGAATCAGAGTTCCAGATAACTTTTTATTTGTTTCATTGTGGTTTTTTTTGCAAAGTACTTACTTCTAAATCGGAAGAGTTAAATTCATATGGGACATTCCAGCCCAAAGCTCCATATTTTTTTCTTTCATGGACTACAGCATTGAAGAAACACAGGCTGAACACCAGCTTCTTCCATGATAAGCCACATTCAACCTTGTTGAAGATAATTTCCGTTACCTCTCCGCTGCCACTGTATCCAAATGTCTGAAGTAATTTTCCCTTCAGACCCTGAGGTGGTTCTATTGCCATCTTTAAAAAAGAAAAGAGGGAAACAAGGCAAGTGTATTACTATTATTATATTTTCTGAATAATATGCTGCAGGCAGATGGATGAGAGCAAAACAAATCTAACAAAACCCTTTTACTTTTTTTTTAGTGGATTAGTTACTGAATTGGACATGATCAATCGGAAAAAGAGAGAGATTACTTACAAGTAACTGTTGTTCTTGGAAAGTGTCATCCCTCACACTTATGAGATATAATGCTCCTTGTGTTGAACTGTGGAATTTTATTAGTGATCAATATTCATTGGTGCTAGTCATCTGACCCCCATAAGGATCCATAAGTCTTCAACCACGATCCTCAGGTCCCCAAGCAACCTTCGTATTTTGGCTACCATCTGGTGACTTGCTAGTAACTGGTGGGCTCAATGGCTAATGGAACCCTAGCCCCACCAGAGGCATCAGCAATCGAAGTCCTGATTGGATGAGTGCCCGGCCCCACCTATTGGTCTGGCTGTGTTATTTAAACCAGAAGCAGACACAGGAAGTTATTTGTACAACTGGGTAGTTGCTACATTGAACCCTGCCTTTTTGCCTGACTCCTGAGTCATGCTTTCCTGCCTTGTCCCTGGTTCCTGCTTCCCTGTCTGCTCCTGATTCTGGTTTTCCTGACCTAGTTCTTGCTTTCCTGCCTTGTTCCTGATCCATGCCCCAGTCTTTTATTCTGACTTCCACCTCTGATTCTGACCCTTGACTTGTTTTACTGACTCCTAACTCTGACTCGTAGTTCTGACTGGCCAAACCCTTCATGCTACCCGTTCACCCCCTGCTCCTCCTGTGGAGGATTCCAAGGATATAAAAGAGGGTGTGGCTCCAACCACCCTTCAATTCCTTTGCTACTTTTGGAATTCTTTACCTGAGACTCCAAAGAAGAGGGGAAGGTGAGTAGGGAGTGTGAATATACAGAAGCAAAACTCTCAAAGAACAACAGTTTCTGGTAAGTAACCTCTCTTTCTTCTTCAAGTGGCCTCCATATATTCCCACTTGTGAGAGATTAGCAAGATGTATAACCTCTGAGGAAGTTGGGCTGATAAGTCTAGGTGAACAAGGACAACAAACTGCCAACATGAGCATCAGCTGTAGATTGCAATACAAGAGAATGTTGGAAGTGATTATAATTTCATTCTCCCACATCAGACCTCAGCAAAAGACATTTTTATTTCAATATATTTACATACAGAGCTTCAAGCAACAGCCGTGCAAATTCTACAAAAAAGATAGAAGGCCTGCAATGGATGTATCAACAATACTGAGACCTCAGGTTGATTGCGGGGAATCCAGGGACTTAGGCACTTCATTAATTGTGCCGGAACCTCAGTGCTAATAGATAACCCAGAGGGATCCACGTGCTTTGATGCTACATCAACAATATTGGGACATCAGCATCAAATTAGGCTGACCCTGAGAAATCCAGGGAACCTTAGCACACATCAAAGGTGCTGGAATTAGACTGACCCAGAGGAATACAGGGACTTTGACACTGCAACAAGGATGCTGACCTTGGTGATGAATAGGTCAATCTGGAGGGATCAGGAGACTTTGGCAGCATGTCAACTGTGTTGGTATCTCAGTACTGAATTAGACCTAGAGGGATCCAGGGACCTCAGTGCTGGTTGGCACCAGGACCTTGGCATGGGGCTCACCCAGATAAGATCACGGAGATGGCCGAGGCTTAAGCCAGGGACACAGCCACTTTAGGTTAATGGATGGCCAAAATTGATGCTGGATTTACACATTGCCAGACTTAGTCAACTGGGCCTGAGATCCTCCCCTGTCAGTAGGAGAGTTTGAGGTGGCCCTCCCACTACTGCGGGTCATCCAGATGATACCTGTGCCTCTTGGATACCATTTATTCTTTATTCTTCAAACTGAAGAAACCTGTGCTGTTAATCTAACTGACTAAAAAGCAAATAGTCACAAAGGACAGAATCAAAAGAAAGAAAAAGATGAGGAAAGCATCACACACACTATGTGATTCAGGGTCACTGCACCTTCAGCAGTTAAAAAAGAACTGAAGGGCATCTGAGACCACTCCCCTTCCATGGATGCCATTCACTAGAAAAAGTCTGCAACATGATGCCAGGGGTGCTGAATCCCACAAGTGGGAATAGAGAGGACACTTGAAGAAATCTAGATTTCATTAATGGCTGACTACAACTATCCTTCTGAAAACCAGTGGGTTAGACACTACTATTTTCACCATTTTTGCATAAGCGGGGCCCTTTTTCTGGAAACGTTACACAATATTCTGTAGGATATAATGTAAATAAACAACTCTTTAGTTTTCAATTACACCGCTTCTGAAGAAGTATTTTAAAATAAACAATTCATATAAACACATAATAATATATACATATTTTCTGAAATGTGAGTATCAATATTCAGCAGAGATTATTTTGTTTTTGCCATCATGGTGGTCATGTGGTCATAAATCTAGGAATTAAAGTGGAACTATTAATCCATGAGCAGGTGGAAATAAACCATGGAAGTGTTAAATTTGGGCCTAATTACTCAGAGTAATATATGAAGAACTACTGCACTTTATAAAAATTTCTGCTGTGGGATCTCTGCCATTGAACAACCATCACTTTTGGGAAGAAGCACAGCTGTTATGTTGACCTAACAGGAAACCCAAGTAAATTTATCTGCAGTACTGAGGACCTGATTTTTTAGCTGATAGTCTTCTGAAAAGTGAATGCGACGTGAAGCTTAATCTTTTGCTCTGAGCAGGAGCTGAGGGCATTATGGAGGCTGCATCTGGGGGATGGACCACCTTGCATTCTTCTCAAATAGGCTCCTCTAGCTATACCCATCAGCACCATCCAGCTCTTCTTAGCCACAAGAATGAGCAAACCTAACGGCCTTAAAGGATGTGTATATATAAAATGATGTATTCCCAGAAAATCACTCAAATTAAAAGAGTGGAAAACGGAGCACTCATCCACCAAGAAAAGATGAGACCATAAAAATTCTGTTTATTTCTTCAAGGGAAATAAGAGATTAAATTTATTCATGAGGTCATCTTCTCCTAGAGCACATTCATTTTATTTCATTGCTACAACATATACTTGTATCAAACTCTTGAACATTTAAAAAAACAAATCCAGGATGTTTGAATTCTAACTTTTTCTTGTTACTGCAAGAATAACATTCAGCTCACTTGGGGGAGGGGAATAAATCTTCAGTCGTCAGACAGGTTTCTACTAAGCAAAGTAGTCTTTATAAATGTCTCCTTTTTCATATGGAGAAACAAGGCCATCTAGTTCAGAGTAGAATTAGGCTTTATGTGGGGAGACTGGAGGAACTGGAGTTGAGTTCCCTCATGAAGGTTGGGTGGTGGAGTGCAGAATTTTGGTTTGGCTCTGTTTCTTGTTAAGATAATATTAATATTAGAATGAGAAATTTGAAATATTCAAATTGGGTATTCACAGCCAAAACCACAGCAACTTTCTGATTGTGGTGTTTTAGCAAATTATTCACAGGTGCCAGGTTAGTATAATTTTTGGTGGTGCCCAGAATGGGTCCAAGCAGAGCCATCCTGCTTTGGGGGGCCACAAGCTTCGGGGGGACATGGGGTCCAGGGTGGCCTAAGGGGTTAGCGGGGGGGGGGGAGGAGAGGGAGAGGGAGCGGCCCGGCCCCAGCTCGCCCCTTGCCCACTCCTGGAGTTGCTTGGAGGGGGAGGGAGGGGCGCAGAAGCCTGAAAGAGGCAAGGCAGGGGCTTGAGGGAAGGGGTGGAGTGGGGGGGGAAGGGGCAGAGCGGGGCTGGCTGGGGCCGGGTTGCTTGCTGCTGCTGGCCCCAGGCTAACACCCCAGGACCCCCGCTAATCCCTCAGGGTGAAGGGCCCCCTGGGGTGTTTGCCCCAGTCCGTCCTATGGACAGGATGGTTCTGAAAATATAAGTCCAAACATTGGTGGAGCCCATACAACTCGCCGCCTATGCCCTTACCTTAAAACCTTTCTGCAGGATAGGTATGGGGAAAGAAGGATCAGGTGTGGAACTTAACCATAGTCTAAACTGAGGATCCATGTTTATGTTTGGCTGGGTAAATCTGTAAAGACAGGTAGTTTGGTAACATAATTATTATTCTACCAAATATATAAGGCAAGATGCAAACTTTTAATAATCAAATTTCATTACCATTTGCTCAAGTAATTTAAATGAAACAACCTGGACAGAAATAATGTGATTTCTCCAGCTTTTGTCTTACTCTTCAAAGTAGTAAGCCTAGAAAGAGAGCTAGTGGGTCTTGCAAAAGAGAATCTGAATGTTCACATCATGGTCCAGTTCAGAAACGTGATGCTGTCCACTCACATTAGAACCTCTAATGATGCACTATAAGACTAGGAATTGTCATTCCTACCTGGTAGCTAAGTACTGGGGGTTGCCAGGGTCAGAAAATACTCAGCTGCATTCCAAGTGAGTGGTGCAGTGGGTAGAGGAGAGAATTCAACAGCCCAACAGGTTCACAGATGCAAGGTGGATCCCCTTTCACTAATCTCCGGCAGCAAACCCCACAGCCCCTACCTTTTGTTCATGGATATACTGGGTGGTGATCTTCCCTTTTCAGATATTGTGGGTGAACTCATCACTTCTGACAATGAATGGCAACTTCAGCCTATCTGCTCATGCCATGAGGGGCCCTCCCTGGTCAGACTGATCTCTAGGGTGGTAATGGGGGACAGTTCTCTTGCCTTCAGGGATAAGAGTACCGGTGGGCAGCAATAGCAGCAACAGCTGTATTCCACTGAGCCTCCACGGAGGTCCAGGTCAGGAGCTGCTAGCTAAAATCCAGAAGTTGTACCCTTTCCCCAGAACTCAGCATATGGTGGAACAGTGCAGACACCAATAACTTTGACAAATCAGAAGCCTATGTGGTTTTCTGAGCATGATAAGTCCAACAATTATGATTGCAGATTAGAGGATTCTCTGTGTCTGGGAAAAGTGAGAGAAGGAAGGACTGTGAATTGGTAGTGGGTATTGTTCACCGCAAACCTGTGGGGCTGAGTGATTGCGATATGAAAATATGTGTCCTTCAAGTCGAGGTCGCCATATCAGTCTGCTGGATCCAGTGAGAGGATGATGGAGGCAAAGGGACCATGCAGAACTTGAGTTTCTTCATGAACTTGTTGAGTTCTCGCATGTCCAAGATGGGCCTGAGGCCGCCTTTGGCTTTCGGTATTTGGAAATACCAGAAATAGAAGCCCTTGCCCTTCTGCTCCTGAGGAACCTCTTCCACTGCCCCTAGTGATAAGAGTGAGTGCATCTCCTGTATAAGGAGTTGCTCGTGAGAGGAGTCTCTGAAGAGGGATGGGGAAGGTGGGGTGGAAGGATGGGAGGGCACAGAATAGGATGGAGTATCCCCTCTCTACTGTGTGGAGCACCCAGCTGTCCGAAGTAATACGGGACCATGCACTGTAGATACTTCCTGGGCGGTTCATAGGCTCTCTGGCAGTAAAAGGGCGGAGAAGCAGGCTCTTGCTTATAAGGAGGTGGTTTGGAGTGCCTTCTCCAAAGTGCTGAGGTGTATATACTCAGGGAGTGGAGGGTTGCATGACAGTCCTGAAGGACTGTAGCAACTCATCCATTTTGTCACTGTACATGTTGTTAACCTCAAAGGGGAGATCCTCCGTGGTAGGAATTTCCGTGGGGAACCCAGAGAATTCAAGTCATGAAGCTTATCTCATTGCAACCAAAGTCACCATGCAATACTGAAGCTTGGAGGGACAATCAAGCTATCAGCTTGTCCACTCACTCAGGCAATGGTCTGCAATTGTTTTAGGTTCCTGGAGCAGTTTGTTTCTGAACTCAGAAAACTTATTATAATTAATAAAATCATATTTGGAATTGAGGTCTGATCATTCACAATGCAGAACTGTAGGTTAGCTGAGATAAAACTCTTCCTATTGAAGTGGTCTAATCTTTTGGTGTCCTTGTTGGAGGGAGTAGAGCTAGGTTGGTGCAGTCTGTTACATTCAGTGACAGGCTGAATTTCTCTGACAGAGAGAATTTAGAAATGGAAGTAGCTAAGGAGTACTTTTTGGGAGCTGGAACCATGGAGGAAGTTGTGGCACTCCCATTCACCAGAGCAGGTCCAGTAGAAGAATATTTGGATCCAGGCAGATCTTGTTTGTCCAGGACCAAGTATAGGCTTGTCTATACTTTTAAATAAGCCTCCCTTGCTTTTGAGTTCTTTTGGAAAAAGACCAACAAATAGGGCATTTGTTGGTAATATACCACTCACTCAGACAAAATAGGCATCTAATATGCCTGTCATTGAAGGATATAGCCACCTGGCATGAAACCTGGTGATTTTTGCTCAGCCATAAGGTCTGAAGCCTGGTACCGGGTAACTAAAAGACAGAGTAAAAACTACGCAGAATGGAAACCTATCAAACTACTGTATCCACACTAAAAGCAATTATATACAAAATTATTGTATTAACAATCACAAATGGGCAAGAGACAAATACTGTTCTCAGTTATGTCTCTTAGACCTGGGTGGTATGAAGGAACCAAGAGTAGGTTGGCGTGGCTCTCCTCTTTATGCCCTTTGGAGAGGAGAATAAGGGCACTCAGGTTGTAGGAACTGCCCAATAGATATTGCTAGCCAAGAGTAGAATATATAAACACTCAAAGAAGAAAACTTTTTCCAGTTCCTCTTCGGAGACTTTATTCATACCTCTTGTGTTAAAAAGATTTATATTTGCATTTATATTGATTGCTTCAGATTTGGCCGGGTTAAGTTTATAACTTAATTTATATTTTGAATATAAATAAAACACTTACGAATCAACAATTGTACAAAGCCTGGGCATAAATGATGCAGCAAGATGGCAGTTTTGGAGGAAAACCCATTGTCCACTCAACAGCTGTGCTTTATGTATCAAATCTTCAGCTTTGCTTCCCTGACCACGTCCCAAAGAAACCATTTTCACATGCTGTGTGCTTCCTTTTATTTCCTGTGCAAGGCGCAGAAGGTGAGCTGCTGGGTCTATTCCTGTGTAACAACATGGAACTGATTTATTTATGCGGCTACAGCAGTCAAAAATTATTTTTAGAGTTACGTATTTGAAAATGTGTCATTTTTAATTACCTCACCTGTAAGAATAGTACTCTGTGTTATTATTTTTGTAATATTATACATTTCATTATAAGGGACTCATGGGGTGAGGAAAAATGGATTATATTATATTACACTGGTCTACAATTTTTGAGAAGTCGTCTGCTTCAGAGATAAAATGTGCTATTTATTATGTATGTTGATGTGCCGAATTCAAATATGACAATTAAAACAACTGATTGGCTACTGTTTCTAAGATATTTAAGTTTTTACATTTTATGTCTATGTATATTGTGTAGATAGTAGAGTTTTAATCATAAATTGTAAACCTAGGTCTTTTCATGTGTTTATGGTTGCTTTACATGATAATATTTCACCTGTCCTGTTTATGTAACACTTTAAAAATCAGCAAAAGGGTTATATAGATACAATTTATTATGAAACAAAAGGCAAAAAATTATTATGTACATAGTTTAGTCCTATTCAGTGTCTACTCGGCGCTTCTTGGCTTGTCTCTCGTATTCATTAAATGGAGCATCTCTTGTCACTGTCCAGCAATAGTCTGCAAGCATTGATGGGCTCCATTTGCCCTGATAGCATTTCTCCATTGTTGCAATGTCCTGGTGAAATCGCTCGCTGGGCTCGTCACTCACTGCTCCGCAGTTCGGTGGAAAAAAATCTAGTTGAGAGTGCAAAAATGTATCTTTAGTGACATGTTGCAACCAAGGCCTTTGTATGCCTTGAGGAGGTTTTCCACCAACAACCTGTAGTTGTCTGTCTTGTTGTTTCCGAGAAAATTTATTGACACTAACTGGAAGGCTTTCCATGCCATCTATTCCTTGCCACGCAGTGCATGGTCAAATGCATCATCTCGAAGAAGTTCACGAATCTGAGGACCAACAAAGACACCTTCCTTTATCTTAGCTTCACTTAACCTTGGAAATTTTCCATGGAGGTACTTGAAAGCTGCTTGTGTTTTGTCAATCGCCTTGACAAAGTTCTTCATCAGACCCAGCTTGATGTGTAAGGGTGGTAACAAAATCTTCCTTGATTCAACAAGTGGTGGATGCTGAACACGTTTCCTCCCAGGCTCCAATGACTGTCGGAGTGGCCAATCTTTCTTGATGTAGTGGGAATCTCTTGCATGACTATCCCATTCGCAGAGAAAAGAGCAGTACTTTCTGTATCCAGTCTGCAGACCAAGCAAGAGAGCAACAATCTTCAAATCGCCACAAAGCTGCCACTGATGTTGGTCATAGTTTATGCACCTCAAAAGTTGTTTCATGGTGTCATAGGTTTCCTTCATATGGACTCCTTGATCAACTGGAATTGATGGCAAACCATTGCCA